GACCTGATCATATCAGGCAACCTGCTGAACTACCAAGTCCATCTCTTTGGACCCCTAATAGTATCGACCGTACGTTTTCCCAGTGCTGTCCTTACCGAAGACCAGGTTCAGCTCCGGTGTGTGCAAGCCATGCGAACGGGTTAAGCGATAAGGAGACGGACTCCGGACACGATAATGTCGATACAGGTCAGGATGGAGATGACGAGGGTGATGTTACTCCATCAAACCACACCCTTAAACGACCTCCACGTCTCCGACGTCTGCGGCATCCAAGTCATCAATCTACCGGCGCTCCTCCCGAACATGAAGACTATCTATTTACGCGCTCACGGGAACTGGTTTCTAGTCCTACTACTCTCTACCGCCCTCAAAATTCATTGCGACTGAGACGTCGGCATCCACCGGAACTACACCTGCCAACCAGCTCCTCTTGTCCTTTCGACAACCTAGCCATACAACCTCCTTTAGGTAAGCCTAACTATTCGTCATATTTTTATGTCACCGTCACTGTAAGCATTAAGGTTATGCTTTGTGGCGCCTCTTCATGAGCTTTGTGCCTCAGCATTTTCAATACATCACCACAGCTGCATGCGTTCATAACAGATGACCATTTTCTGTTGAACTTATACCGCTTACTATCCCCGGTGAGAGAGCTGTTGTGTTTCAATCGTCATTATTAAAGGAGTTGTTGACTAAGTCCATTTGGTGACTTGTGACTAAAGCCTCTACTTCGACAAAATGGAAAGAAAACACCTTGATGATACACTTGTATGGTTTTCAACTTAATCAGCACAGATGTGCTCCAGAGGTTGTCGTTGGTCCAAGAGGGACTGCGTTCTAGTCAACCGTTTACATCTAGGCCCGGATATTGAAAAAAGACTGTTTCAACGATAGGTGCGTTTGTAGCATTAGTGGTAGCTTGTAAAAACGGCTGCACGGCAGAGGACATCATATTTGGTGATTCTAAGCTTAGTCACAATCCTTCACTTGCGGGTGTTTCCGGACGGCCACTAGCACTTAGCTTACACAACAAACATACTTGTTTTTTTTACGACTATTACGATTGGGCCTATGCACGAAGACCCATTTCGTTTGGAATACGCTAGGAATGCATAGTTCGCTCGTCTGACTTACAGTAGTCACGTGGTATTTGCTAGTGAATGCCGCAGTTCAGAGCACCTCTCAGTCTCAGCAGAGAAACAGAGCACGGACGCCGCACTCGTGCGTACGCACATACCGAGATACTATTGCGCGCGTGGACAACTCACACCGTACGCCAAGGTCGGATGTCTGGGTCATTCAGTGCATTGCTTTCGTTGAACCTTGGGACGCATGTGACTGACATGCTGTCATCGTGTGATTCGGTCAGTTCGTAGCAAGCATGAGAAGCGTACTGAAACCGGAAGCGTCAAAAAATCCTTAAGTTCTGCTTCTGATCGTAAACACTGAAGAAGGGGAGTGATGTGCATACGATCCGAACAGACTGTCCATTTTCTTTTGGGGTCTGATTTAGAGGAGCCAGAGAATGTGCTCGAGTTCGCTATCAAGTTATGTTAGGCTTGTTATAATACTTAGAAATTAATGTTTGCCTGTAAATCGAAGCACCGTAATGCACACGGGCACCTGGATTACTTACATCCAATACCGGAATAATGGCCGGTTACCTGTGTCCCATTGAGGTATCAGAAAACTTTGAAAGACACTCGTTAGATTTGTTTCCAGAATGCTAACTTCTCGGCCGATTCCAAATGTTCCCCAACTGATTGAAAGGCTGGACTTTGTTGCGGCCACATCAAAGAGAGCATGTGGCCGGTCCGAGTGAAATTTCAAGTCACGAACTATGCGTTGTTGCGGCGCTGGTGTACACACGCGTCGTTTAACACGTCCTCTATTTGGCCGTCGTTCTACTGATGGAGTGCATCTCAGAAATAAACGGTGGTCACCACTGTTGATGGAACCATTTCTCTTTCACCAGCGGCCAATATACTCCTGCTGCAAAGATGATGTATTTGTGATCTGTGGAGCCTTCTAAAAGAATACGTGTGTGAAAAATGGAATGGCCACAAAAGATATGCTGATTTTTCCCGAAGGAGGAACTGTCGAAGAGTTTTCTTCGGATTTTAAGGGGTTTCTTCCACCTGATAGTGGGTTTGACTAAAAACTTCCCAGATTGCTTTCATAGTAAGAAAAACATGCTCTGACGCCGCTTTACTTGAGTAGTTTTCACTCATTCCAGATGAATCTTTCAAAAAGTCCACGTGCAAGTGCAATGGATACAAATTGCCGGACGAATTTCATTTCCTTCATTGTTAATATTTCCAGGGTTATAGATTTCTCATCTGCCTGCTTGCTAAATAAACCAAGAGTCTTTGGTGGTGCTCTTGGAAACTATAGGATATGACCGGCCAGTCCAAGGTAGAACAGTGGTAGATACGCTTGCACTGAGCCGTACTGTGAATTGCATACAGCATATCCGACGGTGCTTTAGTTAATTTACAAATCTAAAGCGCAATCAGTCCTTGTCCAGTTTTACCAGCTGACGTCAGTCGATTTTCCTTAAAATGAACCGGAATTTCGCGGTAGTGTGCGTAGGGGAGAGAAGTTATCTAGCTTAGTCAGTTCTATCATCCACTGCTGATTAAACCGTTCAATAGGTCACGATAGCCTGATAGCGAGATGCGTCAGACATGGGTATGGCGTACGACACATTGGCAGGCATACCGATCGATACGCACTTCTATTGGAGGCTTTCAGTTTGAGCCAATCAACATCCTGTTCACACATTCCCCTTTATCGCCGTGTCTTGTACTCTGATTTGACGCAATTTCCGATGATATTTCGACATTGTCCGGTGTTTCCGAAAGGTGTTGTAATGTTATGAATCGGTTCTGAGTTCGGGTTCATCAACACAACTAGGACAATTCAAAAATGTTATTGGGGGAAGGATTTAATCGCCAATCATCGCTTTCATCTGATTGCGTGGTTGACTGAGTTTTAATGGCGTAAGTTATTGATGGACTTATCCCAGTTATGCCGCTACTGACACATTCACTTTGCATCAGGCTTCTCTGGACCACTGTCCAAAGGTGCAGAAATACTCTGCGGTCGGTACTGGGTTCACCGTATACATACCGATATATTTAATCAGCCCAGATCTGTAAATTGCCTTTTCTCCAAGTTCCACCTAAACTACGAAGTGCAGCAGTCGGAACAGTTTGCCTACTTGCCTGCCCGCAACCATCAGTCCTACACCCACCTTGGTCTATATAAGTTGGGACACATCTCCCCAACAGAATGATCATCCGAATCCAGCTTCGAGATATGACCAACTTGGTTCTGCCCCCTTGACCAGGATCTTTTCGTCCTCAATTGGGTGCATCGATCGTTCACTTGATGTAGCTGTGCGTGTTCACATAAAGCCAGTTCTTCGTGCGACCGCTAGAAAACACCGAGTTGAAGCCGGATGCCATCTGTACTTTGGTTTAGCTGATAACTTACGCAGTAAACTTGCTATCTAATGTCTAGTTAAGGCGTTCCATTGTGGTTTCTTAAGGTTCCTAGCATAATAGGCGAAATCATGATCTGGTCACCCGGTTGTCGTATAGATTTTTGTAATCTTCGTAAATACACGCACCTGGAAATCTACATCGGTAGCTCAGCACGTTCCTGTGGATATCTGACTAATCCTCCGCACTGAGGACTTACTGCGAGCTTGTCGGGCCAGTGTTGTGTACTCTGGAATTTTATTCCCCCTAACATACTAAGATGAATCCTTGAGATTGCATATGATATTGTAAGGCGGTAGAACCAAACGTTGTGGATGATTCACACGTACAAACTTCTTACTTAAACGCCCAGTTCACATGTTTCTGGAATACGGTACAGCAAATTTGTACACACATTTTTGGGAGAATAGTAATATGGATTTTCTTTGAAGGGACACTACCCATACGGTTTCTGGTTTCGCTCTTCCCGGGCCTCATCAAAAAGGCACAGAACCCGAGTTCCCAACAACTTTCGTTCTGCTTGTTGAAGCACATGCTGAATATGTTTTTTCATGTCCTAATACACACGTACACAGTGACAGGCGTGGTAGGGTCGGAGCAGGCATTCAGTGAAGGGGTGAAGCAAGAGACACGACGAGAAATTTGTTTGCATTTCGTTCGTGCATACACCACATGGTTGGGCGTGGAGTACACCAATTTTTTGGCAATGTGTGGAGTTCCCCGAATCAGCCATGATCAAAATTAATTCTTTGGCTGTATTTCGAAAATTAAAAAACTTGGACGGGATGCGGTCACAATCGGGCGAACTTCCCAGCACACACACGGTTGATTACATGGTGTTGAATGTTTAGGAACCTGTTGCTCGTACGATGCGCGAGATGTTTATAAGATCACTCGATACCTTGCGATAGCTCGGTTTTTTGGCTAAGCAAGGATGATTTCCCAGACGCAGATGAATAAAAAACGCCTAGGCTTTTAAGCTGCTTTATTTTTTCCATGCGTTGCCTTCAAGCGCGAGTTAAAAGAACACTAGTGGGCTCAGAAACGAAGACATTTTCACATCAGTTTGATTTCTATGGAAAACTTAAATGAATCCGTCGTTTAGAATATTCTTCAATGGAATGTGCTTCACAGAAGCTGCCACATGTTTCAATTCGTACGATGTTTGAGATATCGTTGTATATTTTCATGAAGGAGCGCTACTATAGGGTTGCTGAATACTCTTCGGCCTAACAAGAGACTACGCCTATCTGACGAGCCCGAAGAGAGACGAAACCGGTTGTGGGCAGTCGAAGAGTTTTAAGCCGAAGGGCAGTATCCCTTGTAGACAATCTGTTATGGGGGACGGAATTTTACTCTGCGTTTCGATAGGCTACAGAGGTTAGGTTTTCATGTTACAAAGTACCCGAAACGTGCATCATCTTGTTGCACCAGCTGAAACATCAAACCGGTTGATGGGCTGTTATTCTGTGCACAGGTGGTTTTGCTTTTTGCCTAAGACATGCTAGTAGAATCCACAAACAGTAGAATAATGGCAGGATAGTCAGCAGAGATATTTTCCTGCTTTAATTCTAAGGAATAAATTTCTAATTCACCATCCATTAGCCTATGGTAGGCAACGTATTAATTTATTGGCTCCTCTCGTAGAAACACCCACTTTTAACGTTCCTTACACTCCCATGCATCAAACTGTACCAGCGGTCGACCTCTTTAGCCGAATACTTTTAGCATGGTATAATCTGTAGAATCTATCAGTCAGTTGTCTGACTACTCCACTGCTTTACTGAATGCTGGTATTCTGTTTACATCCCCATGATATACACTCTTCCGCATGTTCAGAACAACACTGGGTGAAACCAACTTTACTTTGTCAGCCTTATCAACCCACTGAATAAGGTAGGCTTCGTCTGTGATTGATATACTTGGAAGTGAGCATCGGTCACAAGCTGGGAGTCTTTTGGT